AAAATCCCCTCACGTGGTGTTTTTTATGAATGAGAGAAATTGTAATAGGAGCTGAGCCAACACTGATATTTCAAACCACTTCTCAAGATTTGTCGATAGCAGCTTTGGAAACAGAACTGGAACGACACAATGTCCCTTTCCGAAGAAAGCAGGCACAGCAGTGGAATTGTCTCCAGAAGGGAGGAGACACGGTCCTTTGCTCTGCTCTGCCCAGGTTCTGCTGTGCTACACCATGACAAGTCAGGCTGGGGAATATGACTCATGGCCAGCCCCGGTCCAGGGGCATCGTTGCCGACACGGGAGGTGTCATGGACTTCTGGGCGGCTGAGAGGTGTTCTGAGTTTTATATTTGATGATATTTCCTGGAGAGTTGGCCATCTTCCCAGGACTGAATGCGAAGATAGAAAGACGCCAGTCTACAAAAGATGCTTGTCTGTGTGCCATGTAACAGAAAGCACTGAAAACTAAGAAAATGATCCTTATCTAGTCAGGAAACCCATATGCAGCAGCAAGCCCATCTTCAAACGTGCTGAGTTTGAGAGCGCTCAAGTCTGACTTTCAGCCGTTCAAACAGCTGACCCACTGTGCGACCAGAGAGCCGAGACCTGGTTTTAGACTAGAAGGAAAGGCAGTAGCTAGATAGGGAGATCACAGCAATGGATCCGAATAGTCTCAAGCCGTAACCTGTCCAGAGTTCTAGCGCCTTTCATAAAAAGTAGGGTGTGAGTAAAAACTGCTCTAGCTAGATTGCACAGGAGGACTCTTTCTGGTGACCGGCGTGTGTCATGCATGGAGTCTGTTTGGAAGGAGACGCAGCCGTGGCCAACTTGACTCTTGTGATGCCTTCGTAATGGATGACATCGTGAAGGACGAAGGGACAGTCCCCAACTTGTCCTTGCAGTAGAAACCCAACCTTTAGCACAGACTGCAGAGTAACTCGCAAGCTGGGCGGTGCTGCTTGTGATACCTGCGTTCTAGGCTCCATTGTTTCTCTAACCCTGCGCCTTCACGCGAGCCAGCTTTCAGCTCCGTTTTTTTTTTTTTTGTTGTTGTTGTTTTTCTTTGCCTCCAAAGAGGTGTTGTCCGTGATAAGCTATTCGTAAAGTGGCTCTGAGAAGAAAGTTACATGTTATTCTGAATTTCAGTGGAATTCCAGACAGAACTGGTGTCCGTGGGGGATTTTGAGTCATGACAGGATGAAAACTTACTATTCGTGGTTTCAGCTTCTCCATCGAATCTAGGAGACACAATCTCACAGCAGGATTCCTGGCCCTCTGGCCCTGACAATATTTATGTCCCCTCTCCTGTGATAGCCCCTGAGCGTTACATGTAGAAGCTGGGTTATAGATATGTCAGCTGGGGGTGGGCACCAGTTTTTCTCTGTTTTGACCAGAAGTAGCTTGCTGTAATGGTCTTGTGCTACAGAAAGAAACTTCTTTGTTGAGGGGTGAGATCTACACTGCTCAGGCTGGGCCTGAACACAGGACGTGCAGGCCGGATTGGGCCTGGAGGTTGTATACACCGCAAGTGGGTAAGGTCAGGAGACAAAAAGGGCCTTGGCTATGGTGGGTGGTGAGCGCCCAGCAGTCAGCAACAGTGGGAAGTTGTGGTGACACCCAGGCCTACGGAAGTAAGAGACAGCTATTTCTGGCCCTTAGGGCTCTTCTGCATCTGCCCCTGTCTGGAGCTGCTGCCTGGCAGAGAGGAAATTGGGAAACCAGAACCCAGCAGGGAGGGAACCGTGGAGGGGCAGTTCACTCTACTGAGCCCACTGCATCCCTGCCTCCCACTCCTCGTTGGCGGCTCCCTTGCAAGGGTGATTGATCTCAAGAGAAGTTAGAAGGCAAGGCGGGAGAGCATTGTGTGCTGCTGTTCACAGTCCCCAGCCTCCCTCACCTGAGCCGGAGTGGGAAGGGGGAAGGGGGAAGGGCAAGCAGAGTACTCAGCACAAAGAGTACTTAGTGTTCGCGGTAAAGATCGCGAGACTATTCTCACCGTAAGCTGTAAAGATCGCGAGAATATTCTCACCGTGAGCTGTATATGCATACTAATGCCTTCGCCTATCCATAATCAGATGCATCAGAAGTAGAAGCAGGTGTAGCGTTTCCCGGTGTTCTGAGTGTGCCTGGCAGATCTGACGGAGCCATTCTTGTTCTTGAGCTCACACTGTGCCTGGGAAACTAATCGCGGCGAGTGTTGAGCTAGTGAGCAAGCCGCTGTTTAGCTGAGCTTGTGAGGCTGCTTTCTCTTCCTCTGTTGGGGCCCATGCGGTGTAGAACAATGTAATAGAAACGGAGCCACTTTCCCGCTCCACAGCCCTTTGCGGATTGAGATGCCTTGAAAGAGACACTGGATTGACGACTGTCTCTCAGCTTCTTCCCAGCACGGAGCCCATGTCTTTCCTCGCGATACCCTTGCAACCATATTGGGAACGCAGGGCTTTAATTTAGCAAGGTAGCCCAACCAATCTTTCCAGATAAAACAAAGGTGAAAAATCAATCCCGTTTCATCTCACACATCAGATATCTATGTAGTACACCCCACTTCACGCCCTAGGGACTATGAACCCCCTACCTTGAAAACCACTGTTGTGCCCAGATCACGACCCCCAGAGAGAGACCACCAGAGAGGACCAGATTGTAATAAGCAAGGTTTAGTCAGCATAATACAAACATGTTTGGAACTCATCTCCATCCCCGTTACAACAAGGTAGAGAGGAGTTGTATCTCCTCTGTGGGGCAAGCTTTTAAAGGTATAACTACAAAGAGAATCTTTGAAGATGCTTTGGCATGGGTACAAGGACTTTTGCTCCCTCACATTCTGTTAAGTCAGCTTTTTCCTTGTTTTTAGAGAGGCCTCTGTTCTTGAGTTAGGCCATCTTTATCAGCCTGTACCAGGTGGCTGGCTGGGCTGAGCTAAGGGACCTTGTGCTCAGAATCTCCTGGGTGGGAGAGGGGAAGGCCACTATCTTCCTGGGAAAACATTCTGCTAGAAAATTTCTTTTTGCCCCTTTGAGAATAAGGGGTGAGGGTCCCACACCACGATTGTGAACCGCTGGGATTGATGAGGGAGGCAAGTCAGCTACAGAGTTGCAGTGGTGGGTGCAGAATGTTTGATGGCTTTAGGAAGGGATGTTGATACCCAGAGGAGAGAGGTTACCAGTGAGGAGAAAGAGAACGGAGGAGACCAGACGGTTTCGTAGAGGCGTGGATATGGGAACCCTAGAAGGAAGGATGGTAAGTTGTGTTAGCAGCCGAGCTGTGAAGACTGAGAACTGGCTGCGGGGAAACAGATGAATGATGGCCAGGGCTAACGTTTGACAGGCGCAGTAAGTTCTACCCAGAGTCAAAGCGCTGAGTGCCCACTGGCTTGCTAGGGGATGGGGAAGATGGCTCTTGCAATGTCTCATTAGCAGCTTTGTTGGAAATGGTTAAGTGAAGAGATGATGGGACTAGAGAGAGGTAGGATCTACAAATGGCAGAGAAGGGGATCGTTCGAGAGGGGTCTCCTGGAGATGTGGGGAGAAATGGTAACGGCAGTCTGGAGAGAAGAGTCAGAGATGGAGAAGAGGATGCTTCCGTCTTAGCTGTCCCAGAGGATTCTTACTAGAGAATGATGCTACATTTTCTTGTTTGAGTGTACAGACCCGCACAGATGCAAGCCATCTCAGTTAAGATACTAGCGAAGGAACTTATCGGTCATCTTCTTTAAAGACCTTTTTCCTCCTAAAGAACAGATTAAATCCGGTTGTAACGGGTCATGTGCCTGGCCTTGTGTGTGTCTATGAGTTAAAGTAGGTACGCTCTTGTGTGTGAGCCTGTGCCCTCTCTGGTGGGCGTGACCGGAACAGGCAAAATCAATGAAGTGGCAGCCCAAAGTGGAAACAGGCCGCGTGCCAGGAATGGGGATTCTGCGTTTAGCGCCATCATTAATTAATTCCATTCCCTCGGTCCGGAGTTCTAACCTTATGGTTTCCGAATCTACGAAAGAGAGGGCTTGCCCTGTGATGACTACGATTCCTTAAGCTTTAAAATCCATCCATATTTTAAAAGTATGAAATGGATTAGGTGGATTTCCGTTACTATAACAGATACCTGAGATCAATTTATAAAGAGAAGTGGCCTAGCGGGACTCACAGCTTTAGAGGTTCTGGGGCACGGGGAGGCAGACACATTGATTGCTGGTCTCTAGCCGAGCGTTGCCTGGCAACAATCGGGGCACTTGGCAGAGTCAACCATTTACCTCATGGCTAGAAGGGAAAGAGAGGAAGGGATGCCATCCCACAGCCCCATTGAAGATCATACTCCAGTGTCCTGATGACATCCCGGGAGGCTACCCCACCTGCTATGAACACCTTCCTGGGATCCAGCCTTTAATACATGGGCCTTGGGGCACAGTTAAGATCCAGACATCAGCAATGACATGCTTCGGCTATGTTAAATGTGACTTTTGTCCAACCTCCATGGATGCTTCTCTTGCCAGAATCTTCTCTCCTCTTCTTTCTTGCTATTTAGTCCTGGCTGGTATGAAACTCACTGCATAGTCCTGATTGATCTTTGCTAGGTAAACAGGCTGGCTTTGAACTTGTGGTCACTCTCTTGACCCTGCTCTCCACAGGCTGCGGTCAGAGGCATGGACCCCTCCACTGGACACCGTTCCTTGAAAATGGAAGGTGTTAATGTCAACCAGCAGTTTGGTTCAGTCCAAACCTTCACAGGTCTTACGGTGTTTCTATAAAACTTGTATTCATTCATTCAACAATTATTATTTTGTACCCATTGCATTTCTGGTATGTTACACAGCTGGGGCCATCGTAAGAAAGGCGACTCTGGTCTCAGTGCCTGGGTGAGAGCTGGGGCAGAGATTTCCCCACCTCTCCCCATCTTTCACGACGGCCCCTCGCTCCTGAATGTCTTTGGAGAGCCTCTCTATGCATTGTCTTCCCAACGAGTCAGTTCAAGGGCTTCTAACAACTGCTATTTGATGTTTTTTTGTGACAGATGATTCAAGAGAGCCGGGTCGTCATAGAAACGGCAGACACCGTCCAAGAAAAGATTGTCCAGTGTCAGAAAGCAGGTAATAGTGTTTTCTCCTTTGTTTAGGAACCACAACAATAAGCCAGATCTTAAAATTAAGCTCTTTCACGGCAGTGTTTTATAGTCTAAGCTATACTCGGTTTTGTCCGGTAGAGGAGAGCCAAGGTGATGGCGGTTATATTTGTGTTTAGGAGCGTGGTGTACAAAGATGCCAAGAGACCAGGGTTTGTGACTAAACCCCTTCTGGTTGCGATCCTCTGAGAGCCTCCACTGCTAGCGGAGAAGCTGTGGTTCCGTGTGACTCTTTAAAGCCCACTTCGTAGTTAGGATAGGAACCACAGTCCTGTCTCCTTCTGAGTTTTCGCCCTTCTTCCTCGTTCTCGTGTGAGATTCGTACTTTCTGTAGGGACAGGAGGGGTCACGTGACTGTGAGCATCCACCTGGGTTTGCTTGTGCCTACTGTGATTTCTATCACAGAGCTTGTGTTTCTTGGATCCAGGGGCTCCTCTGTCCACACGTACAGGGATGATGATGATGAGAGACTGGGCAGAACAGGCAGCTGCTATCTCTCTGTGCTGGTGTTTGAAGTACAAGCCCTGTCTTACCCGGTCTCCATGGTGACCGAGTATGGTGTCCCGTTTATAGACGGGACATGTGAGAGGCTGGGGACTCATCCAAGGTCTCAGCGTCAACACACAACAGAGTGGACTCATGGACACAGACTTGCAAACCGGTGCTATTCACTAGGCTGGCTGGCAAGCGACCTTCGATGTTTTAATTGACAGGAAACACGAAAATCAAAATTCACAATGCATACAGGAGCCTCCGTCTGACTCTGCAACCTTTGTATGTGTTGACCCGTCCTACATGGTCCCACTCAATGGCACTTGCTCCTACCCTTTCACCAGGGAGGAGAGCGAAGCCCTGAGCGTCTCCAGGCTAGCTCAGACTCAGACAATTAGTGTGTGGGCGAACTGTGCTCCTCCCGGTTCTCATGGGCTGTGCCCGGTATACAAGCACCGCTTGAGCCAATGTGGTTTTAGGCTACAGTAAGAAAAGCCGGCCAGAACAAGAACGATCACAAATCCTTACTCACTGTGAGATGCTGGAAGCCCAGCGAGGACCCTGTCCGTTCTGAGATGCAGCTGTCTGCGTTGCTCAGATCCAGAAAGTTGGCTGGTCCAGCGGCCCCGCCTGGATGCCATCCTCAAGGATGAGTCACCAATAAACAGACAGGAGTTAGAACGCTCCCTGTGGGGCAGAGAGGATCCAAGGGGATTTGATTCAGCATCTTTCTTTAGACATATAAAGGGCTGGACTGCGGCTAAGCCATCAGACCTCCTTGGTCTGGGGCCAGCTAGTGCTGAGGGCTAGAAGTTCTGGGAAAGGGGACCTTGGCTCAGTGTCCATCCCAGCCCTCCAAAGACAGAACAAATTGTCCGTAAGAGAATGTGATTCTCATCCTGGAGTTCTGAGGAAAAAGACAGCGAGAACGGATGACGGCCATGTTGTCGATGGCATCCAAGCTTCAGCGAACGGTGGACCAGAGAGCACACGGAAGAACACTCCCAAACGTGAAACACACGGGTGCTCCCAAGACTGCTGTCTTTGAAAGGTTTTTTTATTTGGGGTCGAATCTGCAAATCGCCGTTTTACCTGTAGGGACTCCATGGCCTGCTTTGGAGCCACGCGGCCGGCTCATTAACAAAATCAAGAAACGTGCTGTACACTCACGTGAGGTTATCTCTGCACCCCACACCCTCCTGTACAAAAAACAGGAAAGGACAAATGAGGTCAGGAGCATCTGCCAGGAGGTTTACTTCTCCTTTTCTCTGGTGTTTATCTGTGCATCTGGGCCGCTGAATGTGACCTTTAGCCCCGGGTTCGCTAACGCTTAGATGCTTTCCCTGTGAGATCTCAATGACAAAACAGAAAGAATTCAGGGCTTTAGATATCATGAGAGGAAACAGGAGTGTGAGTTTATAGTTGGTTGGCCGTATTTTCATGGTCAATACGCACATTTTCCTCATATTCTTCATGTGTATTCTTTCCAAAGGGATGGAGTTCCACGAAGAACTTCATAATCTGGGGGCCAAGGAAGGCTTGAAAGGAAGGAAGCTCAACAAGGCCATTGAGAGCTTCGCTTGGAACATTACTGTGCTGAAGGTACGTGAGCTCCCTCGCTGCCCCTTTCCCTTTATTTCTCTCCTCTCCTCTCCAGGGCAGAGAGAAGCATCGTCAGCTAAACACAGTGATTTGAAGTTTGAGCCACGAGAGGGCTGATTTCCAGGTTCAGCTCTAAGCAATGGGGACACGAAGCCTAGGCAGAACTTGCTTTGATTTTTTTTCTTAATAGGGCAACTTGGTTCATGATGGAGGCTGAGGGGGGTACATGAGTGAGACCTAATCTTAATGCCGTGTGAGTGCATGTGTGTGTGTGTGTGTGCATGTGCGCACACACACGCTTACACGAACCCTTCTACAAGTCAATATGACTGTTCTCATTAGTGTAAAGTCATGCCTAATGAGGCTGGGAAGACTCCAACGTAAAACACTTGGAACAGCCTTAGACTATGAAATTTCTGGGGCCACTTAGGATTTTTTATTTTCGGAATATTCTCTATAAATACATTTCTCTTGAAAACGTTTTGGAAGCCAGTTCCTTGAGATTCTAATGTGCTTTCTGCGGCAAATCGACTTCGGAGTTCGAAGTGAAGATGCCATGTTTTATGTTTTCTTACGTAAAAGGAGAAACAATGTAGGTGATTAGAAAAACTTGCTCGGGAATTGTGCTGGAGAAACAAAAAATGATGATTGTTCATACTTAGAGAATGCCTACTGTGTCCAGTGCCATTTAACGGCAGCTATATGTAATAATAATTTAGTACAGACCTTATCACTGTCAGTATCATTTTACAGGCGAGGAGGTGGAGGCATTGGGGTCCCTCAGCTTTTAGTGGTCCAGCTGAAGTTTGAACCCAACTGTCGTTAGCCAGCTCGACAGAGCTGCTGCGTAGCTCTGTGGAAGTTTGGAATGAGCTGCAGAATATATTCACATCTCCTAAAAAGTCAGCCCGTAAGTGCTTATTAGCTCTTACTGTGTGAGATGTGTGGCAGGCATTGGCTGAACACAGATGATGTAGGAGTTGTAGACTTAGGCCTCCTTGAGTTAGCAGCCTGAGGCTGTGGCACAGAGGGGCACCATTCCTCCAAGGGGTGGGCTTGGGCTGCAGTGTTCGAAGAAGAAGCAACTAGAACTTTAGCATGAGATTCTTAAGTCTTTTCCTCTTGGGAAATTTTTCCACGAGCAAATTTCATGCAACCCAGGTATATAGGTATATGAAATAGCCATACAAATCATTTGCTGATAATAGATATAAAGATGATTATTTTAAAATAATTATAAAACACATAATTGTACCATTTATTAAAGACAAAATCAAACGTTCACACGAATGAGATGGGTGTCCTTATTTGCCCTTACATAGAAAATTAAATCTTGGCTGAGCATCTTCAGTGTTTCTGATATTTTGATTTTATTGTCACCAGTGCTAAGGCAGGCACATTGTTTTGTGTACAAAGACAGAAGCATGATTAGGGCCATTTCAAAAACTGTGGAAAACGCCACTCTGATCCCAAGCTATAATTCATGTAATGATTGTTTTTTGAGCCCAAGTTATCAATCCAAACAGCAATTTTAAAAATCAATAATTCTCAAACAAAATAACCCCAAAGTGTTTGCTATTTCCGTGCTGAAGAAAGACAGCAGAAACAGCCGGTCTCTGTGTTCACTACTTTGGCCGTCGGTTCCATAAGGACGGAACATTTTGTCCACGCAGTGAAAACAATACCCAAGGTTGAACAGTCTCAATTAAAGGCTGATGTCTTTAGGTGGTGTTTGCTAATGTGACGGCATGCATGGTGTGAGCATGCGTGTTGTGTGTTCAGCACTGAGCCTTCTCTGAGGTCAGGCGACACAGCCGTGTGCTGCTGGAAACACATGCAGTTCATACGTGTTTGAGCTTCCGAGTACTTTAATTCATTGCTGGTTGTTGTGCGTCGCCTGCATACCGTTACGTAGCCTTACGTAACATTGTGTTCCAAAGTCAAACAAATTGGGACCGATGATATAACACAGCATTTGCTACACAGAATTTAGTACAAACCCCTTTGGAAAAGCAGATGTTTCTCTGGGCTTGTTGAAGGACCAACCATCAAGAAAGGTGCTCAGAGATGTGAAAGTCAAGACTATCTCACCTGGGCTTCCAGGGCTAGGCTACCAAGAGTAGATGGGCATATAACTACTAATGGTTATAGTGCACACTTAATGATTTGGCATTTGAGACCAGCACTCACAGCTAGGTACATACACACACATATATATAGTATGCACATATCTGTAGCATATGTGATACATGAGTGATATATATGTACACACATATGCATATATATATGTATATACATACACACACATAAATCCTCCATTGCCCTTCACCAGGTCTGCAGTCTAGCAACATCACGTGTCACCTTGATAGAATTTCTATATCTTATAGATGAAGAAATTGAGACAGAGGCAGGTATACATTTATCATTGAGTCACATAGCCAGTAAATGGCAGAGTGGAGATTTTTAATTGGCTACCCATCATCTTGGCTGTTACCCTGAACTACATCCTATAAAACTCTGTCAATGTCTCCATCTAGCCTTGTGCACAGATGAGCACACACGTGTGTAGGCTGCTGGATAGCGGTGAGATTTCAGTGTCTCTGAGCATGGCAATAATGCCTACGTCTGTAAAGAGCCAATTCTCAATGCACAGACCTGGGTGGTATCGTGTTTTTCCTTGTAGAGCAGGCTCTCTGCTTTTACTTCCCTCTTGTTGCTAACTTCCGACTAGTGCCCACTTGGTGTTCTGAGGTTTCCTTGGATGTTTGTTTGCTTTAATGACAGGAGCTGATTTCTGGATGTGACTGAGCAAATATTGAGTAAATCACTCCAAGACAGATCTTTGGAAACAGAATTGATCTTCCGTAATTACAGCTTGTTCCCTGGCTGCTAGCACTGCAGGCTGAGCTCAGGATCCTAAGCAACGGTGGAGGAGTTTTTCCAAACGTCAATTACTTCATTGGAAATATTTTCGTATGTCTCTCATCGGGTTCAGTGAGCTTGTTAATCACATGACCATTATCCTAGAGCTAAAAATGTTGCCTCTTAGGGATTTGGATTATTGGGTAAGAGTGAAGCCAGGGCTCTGGCCCTGCAGGAGGGGCTTTCCCCTTGGGTCTGTTCTGTACTCTTCCCCTGTAAACCTTCCTTAGCATTTGAGTCCGCACTCAGAGATCTTTGTTGCTGATGGGTCTCCAGTCTTGATATTACTTCTCTAAGTTTTAATCAATTATTGTTCTATATTTGAGTTCATTTCAGTCATTTTACTTGGATAGATTAGTAATAAGCACATCGGCGAGACGTAATCATAGTATCTATCAATAGTGGGCAGGGCTCAGCTTTACAATTCCTCAGTGCCTAGTGCTAAGCATTCCTTACACTTCTGTAGGTCAGGTACTCTCCAGTATCTTGGGGTAGAGGGGGATTTATCAATACCGGCTAAATAGGTGGGCTCATGTTTCTAAGGGCATTTAGTGCCAGTATAATTACCAAGTCAGAGCAAAACAGGGGCAAATGAGAACTGTGTGCCCAGTGATGGTGGGTTGTCAACATGGGGTTGACACGGGTTGGGACATTGGCTTGGGAGAACATTGACCTCGGCCTGAAATACAAACTCCTCAGTTTATGTTTTCTGCATTTCCATATATGATAAATTTAAGAGCAAATGATAAGAAAGGTAAATAAAAATGTATAGAGGGTAGGTAAATTCGGCTTGAGATCTGGCGAGAACCGCATATCTGATTCCAGGTAGGCATCTGGCTGTTGCGTCCTCTGGCAGGGTAGTAATAACTGGCTGTGTCCCATGGCAGGCAGGCAGGCAGGCAGGCAGTCAGGAAGGACAGAAAGTTACACCGAGTTCCCCTAAACGCTTTCGCCAGGCTCTGATCCTGTCCATGAGAGTGACGTCCTCATGACCTAATCAGCTCCTAAAGCCCCATGTCTTAATGTTGTCGTGTCGGGAACCAAGCTGTCGGCATCCATTTCAAGCGAGATACGCGCTCTACGCACAGCCTGTTGGTTATTAGCGGGACATTAAACTCTCATAGTGGGGGCTTTTCTGCCGTTCCTTAAGATTTCCTAAAGAAAAATACGGTTTTACGGACGGAGCTCATGTACTGTTTTGGAAAAGTCCTTTCTCCTTAATTAATTGATTAATTGATCATTTTTAATAAAACCATCTTTTCTCAGCAGCCCGGCCTCACAAAAGTTCTTATCTTGGATGGGAACAGTTCGCTATATGGGCAGAGGCGATTTAAAGCCTGGGCTCCATCCAGAGTGATCAGACTCGTGAGCTGTGAAAATGACTTCTTCAAACTCCCGTCAGTCACCTTGCTCACACGAAATTCACAGACTCTTACACGCCATCCGGGGGGAGCTTCCCAGCGTCTATCTTCTCGTCGCTGTGGTTGTTGCCAGCCTGCTTGTTGAGTTCAAGGAGCTAAATGTTATGATATTTTCTTTCTTTTTTTTGATATTTTCATTTAAAAACCTCTACGATTTTTTTTTTAAATCAGGCTGGCAAAACTAAGACAAATATTTTATCATCAAAGAAAATCAGCAACAGGTGATCACTCGAGATTCAGGGAGAAGGAAAGGGTTAAGAAGTGGCTGCTTTTTTAGCTATAAATTACAATGGCTTCTAGTTGAGTGACAGATAGAAAATAAAAGGTGAACCAAACTGTAGCCTTGTTAGTAGGGTCTCCTATTATGGATTTAATTTTCCTGAATAGATGTCCATCTTTTGATGTGTGTCATTGTGGACCATCAAATGGGCCTATTTTATAGATTTCAGTGAAGGAAGTGTGACTCATTTTTCTGCCCAGCTTCCTGGTTTCGTCACTGCGAGCTCCTGAGGAGTCTTAACAGAATCATCGCTGGGAAGAGTAGGCGTTGCTGTCTCTCCTCCCTTCAGCGTGAGGACTCGGTTCCTAACTCAGACAGATCCCCTCACTTAGTCCCAGGATTTCAGGCCCCCAAAGCCCTAGGGAATCTGGATGCAT